AACTTCGGTGAGTTGGTGGAGACGTTTGATCGGGTAATCACAAATTGGTATGATCCTTTCAGGCTCTGAAGAAGGCGATATCGCCGAAACGTCAGCCTAATAAAGCTTGTTTGCAAACCTCGTGAAGAGTTCAGTATAACAATAAATCAATAATTCGCCTATAGGGGTAATCCGATGCCCTGATAACGAATATGTCCTTCATTTTTGGCGCTGGCGCCAATTTGGCGCCAAATTGGCGTCAAATGGCGCCAGCGCCAAAAATTAATGTTATATTCGTTATAGGGACCTCAAATAACCACTAAACGCAAGTTTTCAGCAAATGTGGTGAAAACACCCTTGGCGCCAGATTGGCGCCAATTGGTGCCAAATGGTGCCAGGTGCCAGCGCCAAAAGGTCATATTCGTGATCAGGGCATCGGATTACCCCTAAAGACGAAGTTTCATCGAAAATGAAAATTTTGGGTTTTTGGGGGTGTAATAGTAGAATAGTACCGAATTACGTTAGGACATAGGCAAACGAAGAGAAAAAGCAGGAGGGTCATAGATAACAGGACATACCACATTGAAGGAGCGACTGATATCTTGTGGAGTGATGGAGATCCTTGGAATATCTGAATTCTGTTATGTTACTTGTTGTTCACTCGAGAAAAAATGAAGTCAATGAAAGCCTTGTAAGGTAAGTGAATCTGTTGCAAGCTCAGACCATCGAGGCACTTCTTCCTTCAACATGTGTAACTTCATTCGGATCTAGATCTAGTTCCCTGCTTTTGCATTATTGTTCATCGTCCTGACTGCTCGAAAAAAGGCGGACGCTCATTTCGCTTCTTTTTTGTTCCAGCTCAACTAGGCTCAAATTTTCCATGAATGTGCACAAACTAGCTCACTGAGCTCTGCAAGGAGTTACCCTCGAATAAATGGTATGGTACTGACATGAGATTATTCCAGGAAACTACTCCTGGAAATACTTAACTTACACGTTTAAGTGTTAAATTACCTTGGTGTACGCTATATAAGCGAATTTCGCTCACTGCGGTGAGCGTAAAGGTTCTCCCAAACCTCGCGCATGGCAGGCTTCATAGATCTACACACATAGATCGAGATCATAAACATTCCCAGGACTACTGGGTAAAGGATCAAGCGGGTATCCAGAAGATGCACTGAGAAGCTAGGAATTCAAAGAGGTCACTGAAAGCTAAACTCTCAGATTCCCACGAATCTATCTAATCAGTGTTGGAGTAGTGCGGCTGATACTATCCATCAATGGAGAACCAAAATGAAAAGCGAATTGGATCCCTCAGAGGGCAAGGGAAAGGGAGAGATTTTAAGGCAGAAAAGGAACGAAACGTCGGCAAGCTACCTACGGGATTAAAGGCACAGTTCACGATAATTTTGGGTAATCCAAATTATGATGAAAAATGGAAGAAAGTTCGAAAATAGTGCGACTGAGGTGAAGAAACTGCGTGCATCGGTGTTTCCAAAGTGAAAAAGGCTCCGAAAAACCGTTAAAAAGGAGGCTGGACGAGAATGAAACCAGAAAAATGAAGAAGAGTGGGGCGTCCGGACGAGTAAACAGTGTGTTTCACTGCGCGCGTGGGTCCTGGTGCGAATAACAGACAATGGTAGGCAAAAACTCATTCACTTATAAGCACAAATAAACAAAAGAACCCTAGTAACAGCAAAAATAGCTCACCTTTTTCAGCCTCTAGGGGTAGGAAATAAATAAGGGATCGCGGCAGTAAAAAGAATAACAGAGGAAAAAAGGATGGGAGGAAAACATCGCCTCATCACTCGGCGATTAGCTGNTTGTGCGTGGGTCCTAGAACGAATAACAGCAATCTGTATTGTCTCAACACTCGTCTAACGTGACAACGATCGAGGGGCGGGAAAGCGAACTACGGCAGCAACGGGGCTTCCATTATGCCCTAAGCGCCGTGATTGTGGGAGCGAGAGGGTCCCTTCTAGCACCCATGCGGGGCGCTGAGTATTCCTAAAGGAAGAACACAAGAACCTATTTTACGTGAACCGTGCTTTTAAGTGTGCCCAGGTTTCTCTTTGAACCATACGAGGCATAGGAAAAGAACAAAGAAGATGGAAGAAAAAAGTTCCTGGAGGATGTGGCCATCTTCTTGAGAAAGAATGATGCTACGGATGCTTTTAGCGCCTAAACTGCGAGATAGTGTCTCTCAATCTGGGGAAGTGTCTCTTAATCTGGGGAACTCTGCTTTTCCATTCTGCACAATTCTACACTATGGTTTTGCTAACTAAGACCTTTTTAGTTGAGAGACATTTTAGATCAAGTTATGGAGCTGTCCATAGGGGTACACTGCCACAAACTTCGTAAAAAGCTGGGTAGATTGAGCTGGTAGAGCGAAATAGCCGATCGGATATGTCGCTGTCGATATGTGCAAAATCATTGGCGCAACAGTCGTGAAAGTGCTAGTGCATTCTGGAAGTGGGAAGTGAGCAATGAAGGTGACGTTACACCATTACTTTGAACCACTCGTGCAATTAGTCCATTTATCAATTTCAAACTCACTCTTCGTCTGAGTGCTGGTGGATGAGCGCGCTGGTGCGGCCGAAGACTTTTTGTCAGCACTCTCAATATCATCATAATAGTCCTCAGATGCGCGCTTCACTCGCTTGAAAGTCCGTCGCTGCAGATTAGGGCCTGAAGAACAAGGGTGAAACAACGGACAAACAACAACAAATAGTTATTTTTAGCAGAAAAGAAGCACAAAGGGAGAAAGTTAACAAGCAAAAGCAAGAATGCACCCTACCTCGGACGGGACTCCTAGCATTAGCTCCGACCTGAAATATTTTTAATTACTTCCAGTCAGACATATTCGTATTCATTATATTCAGATTGGTTCAGATTGCTAGAAAATGTTCCCTCAATTATCTGAATCATTATGCTGAGTCGATGATGAGGAACAGCTCCTTAGGTTTGTTTACCCCGGACGTTATTTCAGGTTTCAGGTTCCCGCTTGAAAGCTAGAAATCTGAATTGGAGGGAACTGTCCACAACGTCATGATCACTCGCTCATTGCTATCTTTCATGGGCACACCCTATGAGTTTTTGAGCAATCTTACCAGACACTTAGGCTGAGAACTTTATGAGTAACTGCTAGGATAAATTCCCTTGCCCATATCTACCCTCAGTTGA